CCAGCTGTTGCAGCCATTTGGGGAGTGAACCAGTGGATGAAGATGTCTCCCTCTCTGTAACTCTGCCTTTCAAATAAATAAATCTTTAATTTTTTTTCTTTCTTCTACTTATAGATACAAGTAAAAACAATGGATTTGCTTTTATATAACATTGTTTATCAATACTTAAAAGGTATTCTGGAAGCTTGGTTTTGCTTCTCAATTCCTACTATTTTCTGAGCTATTTAAAATTCCCTAAGTGTTATGGAACAAGTGTTAGGCTAGTGGTTTGGGCAACATGCAAGATGTGGATTGAGTTCTTGGCTTCTAGCTTGCATTGTGGGCATTTCAGAAATGAGCTCTGTGCTCTCATTGTGTGTGTGTGTGTGTGTGTGTGTGTGACATAACTTACAGTTGTTAGCCAAAGCCTTTTATTATCTTCTTCAAAAAGTCATCTTTCTTTCTTTTCTTTTCTTTCTTTCTTTCTTTTTTTTTTTTTTGACAGGCAGAGTTAGACAGTGAGAGAGAGAGAGAGAGACAGAGAGAAAGGTCTTCCTTCCATTGGTTCACCCCCCAAATGGCTGCTACGGCTAGTGCGCTACACTGATCTGAAGCCAGAAGCCAGGTGTTTCCTCCTGGTCTCCCATGCGGGTGCAGGGCCCAAACACTTGGGCTATCCTTCACTGCCTTCCCAGGCCACAGCAGAGAGCTGGACTGGAAGAGGAGCAACCGGGTCAGTATCCGGCGCCCCAACCAGGACTAGAACCCGGGGTGCCGGCGCCGCAGAAGGAAGATTAGCCAAGTGAGCCACGGCGCCAGCCAAAAAGTCATCTTTCATTCTATACCTCTCAGAAGCAGCCTTATCTCACATTTCACAGAAAATAACCAGGGCCATGTACCATGCTAAGCAATCTCTAAGTGAGAAAGGATATCACTCTTAGAACAAAATAAAATTAACTGCCTTGCTTAAGATAATGTAACAACAACCAGAGCAAGGATATGAATCCGAACATTTGTCCCCCAAACCCATCTAAAACCTTATCTCAAGAAAAACACCTTCCTTCTTAAGGCTTGCAATTACACCATATTCTAGATACCTATGAATCCTGGATATTACTCTATCAATTATCTACCCCACCTCTACTACTGTAATTTCAACCTCTCTTTCTGTCTTTTGTTCCTTCCAAAAGCTTATATATGAGGTTGCACTCTTCTTTAAAAACAAAATAGTTCCCCCGAAATCATCAAGAGTTGTAAGTTCATTTTTTAATGTGTTTTAAAGATTTATTTATTTAAAAGACAGAGTGATGGAGAAAGGGGGTGGGGGGGAGGGAGAGAGACAGAGAGAGAGATCTGACAATGCCTATAACATCCAGGACTGGGTAGGCCAAAGCCAGTAGCCAGGAACTCCATCTAGGTCTCCTACATGAGTGGCAGGAACTCAAGTTCTTGAGCTATCATTTGCTGCTTCCTAGGTGCTAGATGAGGAAGTTGGATCAGAAGTGGTGGCAAGACTTGATTACTAAGCAGCAGCATAACCTGCTGTGCCATACACCTGCCCCCAACTTTTTTGTTTGTTTGCTTATCTGTTCGTTTCAAAGGTACAGAAACAGAAAACAACAGTCAGAGAGAGAGGGCTCCCATGCGCTGGCCCATCCCCCAAACGCCCACAATAGCCTGGAAAAAGGAGTGTGGAATACAATCCAGGCTTCCTACATAGGTGGCAGAAACCCAACTGCTTGAGTCATCACTTGTGCCTCCTAGAGTTCACATAACAGGAAGCTGGATGAACTCAGGTACTCAAACATGGATACATATGACTCAATCAGCATTAAACGCCTGTGATTCTTCTCACTTTTTGACTTTCCTGTAACAGCTCTTTTTGTGAAACCTTCCCTCATCCATAGTGAATTACTGTGCCTCTACTATTCTTGTTATTATCTTTATTAAAGTATTTACTATTCGAGTTCTGGTGACTCCATTTACAATCCATTCCTTACTAATGTGACTGGGAAAACAGTGGACGATGGCCCAAGTACTTGGACCCTGCTACCACGTGGGAGACACACATGGAGTTCCAGGTTCCTGGCTTCAGCCTAGAGAGAGTGAACCAGTGGATGGAAGATATCTTTCTCTGTTTCTCCCTCAATCTGCCTGTTAAACAAATCTTTTTTGTCTTTGTTTTGATACAGGCAAACCAGTATCATGTAAATTCTTTATATCAGGAAGACAGAGAAAAGTTCAACCCCTTTAAGTGAAATGAATAAACGAGTTCAGAATGTAAACTACTCTGGAAATAACATAAGATCTGAAGTAATAAAGATACAAAATCAGAATTGTGGAAGTGGAATGAAGAAAAGTTGCATCTAAGAGGTATTTGGAAAAAGAACATGATAAAACAGTAGAGAATTAAAACACAAGGAATCAAATATACCTCTTGAATAAAGGAGGAAATCATCCAGTAAAAAAAAATGTAAATTAGTGTTGCATAAATTACTGCTGAAAGAATAGGGAATAATAATAAGATACCTGAACTGGAAACAGAGATTTAGAACTCTGAGAGATAAGGCACATAGGCCTAAGATATAACTGTAGAATAATGATTATAGTGCTTATTAGAATTATCTGTAGGATTAATAAAGTACGTTTTTCCTGTTCCCTTCTAGCTCAAGTTGAGAATCAGTGCTTCGAGGCTTAGAATAACCTGGAGTCAGATGGGATAGGTGGATAAAGAAAACAGGTTGATAAATACATCAGAAAAGCTTTGGAACAGAGACTTGACTTAAACAATAATAAATGATAAAACAGCCTCCATTTATTATACCAGGAGTAACTTAAGAGTAATGCTGTCTTCAATGCAAATAAGAAGTACTGTATTTTACTGGATATGAAGACTATATTGGTTCTTACCATTCACACTGAATTAAACTAACTGTTCAATGTTTCATATCCATCACACAGAATTACATACCAAAGGAAAAATAAGAGAATATTCATAACAATTACAATCAAATTATAATTAATCTTTGATTACAAAATTTCTTCTAAGCCTTTGTCATGATGTAAAATTAACTTGGTCTGGGACCAGTATTGTGGTGTAGTGGGTTGAGCAACCACCTAATGATGGCATCTGATATAATTCTTGGCGCAGCTGTTCTACTTCTAGTCAAGCTCCCTGATAATGGCCTGGGAAAAGCAGTGCTACCCATGTGGGAGACCTGGATGAAGCTCCTGGTTCCTGGCTTCAGCTTGGCCCTTTTGACCATTTGGGGAGTAAACTAACCGATGGAAGATCTCTCTCTCTCTGTCTCTTCTCTTCTTTGGGTAGTTCTGACTTTCAAACAAAATTTAATTTGGTCTACCTAGAGCCAAATGTTACCCATTAGTTTTCAAAATAATGTCAAATTTCCATTCAGATTAGCTATAAAAACCTAAATGAGTAATTTGTTTTTTAAAAAATTTATTTAGGGGTCGGTGCTATGGTATAGAGGGTAAAGCTGCCACCTGCTGTGCCAGCAACCTATATGGGTGCAGGTTTGAGTCCCAGCTGCCCCACTTCTGATCAGGCTCTCTGCTATGGCCTGGGAAAGCAGTGGAAGATGGCCCAAGTCCTTGGGCCCTGCACCTGTGTGGGAGATCTGGAAGAAGCTCCTGGCTCCTGGCTTTGTACCGGCTCAGCTCCAGCCATTGCTGCCATTTGGCGAGTGAACCAGTGGGTGGAAGACCTATCTCTTTCTCTCTGCCTCCTGTAACTCTGCCTTTCAAATGAAATAAATAAATATTTTTAAAAAATTTTATTTATTTGAAAGGCAGACTGACAAATTAAAAAGAAGATACAGAAACAGAGAGATATCTTCCATCCACTGGTTGACTCTTCAAATGCCAACAACAGCTGGGCCTGGACCAGGCCAAAGCCAGGAGCCTGGAACTCCATTTGGGTCTCCCACATGGGTGGCAGAGACCCAAGCCCTTGGGCCATCTTCTGCTCCCTTCCCAGGCACATCAGCAGGAAGTCAGATTGGAAGTGGAGCAACCAGGACTCAAACCAGCACTTTGATATGGGATATGAGAATTCCAGGCAGTGGCTTAACTTGCTATGCCACAACTCCTGCCCCTAAATAAGCAATTTAAAATCAGACCTTCTAATATGTCAAAATTCAATTAAATCACATCATTAAAAAACAGGTTTGCTTGTGGGTAGTAAACCTAGCAATTAAGACACTCATGTTATACACTGGAATACCTGTGTTTGAGTCCCAGCTGGGGCTTGTGATTCTAGCTTCCTGTCAACACAGATCCCTGCGGGAAAGGAGCAGATGGCTGAAGTAGCTTGGTTCTTGCCAGTCACGTGGGAGACGTAGGCTTTATTACTTAGTGCGCATTCCCAGTTCCTGGCTTTTCAGTCTAGCCTAGCCCTGGCCATTACAGTTATTTGGGGTGTGAACTAGTGAATGGGAGCTCTGCCTTAATCTCTCAAATGAATTTTTAAACAATATATTAATGAGGGCCAGCACTGTGGCACAGCAGGTTAAACCTCATCCTGCAGTGCTGGCATCCCACATGGGTATTGGTTCAAGTCGTGGCTGCTCCATTTGCAATCCAGCTCCTGCTAATGGCCTGGGAAGGCAGCAGAGGTCGGCCCAAGTGTTTGGGCCACTGCCACCCATGTAGGAGATCAGATGAAGCTCCTGACTTTGGTCTAGCCCAGCCTTGGCTGTTGCTGTCATCATCTAGGGAGTGAACCAGTGGATAGAAGATCTATAACTCTGCCATTCAAATAAACAAAATAAAACATTTATATTATATATGAAATATATAATAAAAGCGTAAATGAATACAGGAAGGTCCAAGATAAACCAAGGGTTCTCTGCTCTCATATAACACATACCTCAACCCCTCCCTGCACCAACACTCTCTTCAGTATGCTTTCTACTGCTGTCCTCTTTCGCATGATTTATGTTATCCAGCTGGAGATTTTTTGTTAGATCTCACCCAGGGTCAACAGTAGTTAGAAGACTTACACTGGTCACTCGACGGTAGATCTGTGCAGCATTTTGGCACTCAGAGTACGGATATTCAGATGTAGCCATCTCAAGCATGCACATTCCAAAAGCATACACATCAACGGATTCATCATATTTCTCCTCATACATCTCAGGGGCCATGAACTCGGGGGTACCTTAAATTAAAAGAACGATTCAGACTCAATGTGAGCAGAAGGTGGCAGATGTCACTCACTGAAGGGTGGGGAGAAGTAGAGGTTGACCTGTAGAGAGCAGAAATTGGAGGGGCAAAAAAGGGAAAGAATGAAAGAACAAAAGAAATTAAGAAATTTTCATTAAGAAAATGAAGGAGGGGAAAAAATTCTGTTTTCCATCAAATATCTTAAAGAAGATCTTCCACTGTAAGGCCTTCACAGGAAACTGGAACAGGGTCAACTGTCCATTTGTTTACTGTTTAAAATAGATTCCTGTCATACAATATGTCAAAGTAATGTAACTCACACTGAAAGAAAAGGCAACCACCTAGAAAGGAATAAAGCAAATGTAAGATATAATGATGGATTTAAAAAGACCAAAATACTTGTCTGCCCCCTACTGAATGGTAGCTGTAAGGCTGGCATTTACAATTAGTCCCTTGCCATTAAGACTCTATCCGATCAGTTTCATTTTGTAAGTGGGCCTTGTAACGAAACCTCAATATTCACTAAGTTCTTAAAAAATAAAGTAATACTTGGGGCCGGCGTTGTGGTGCAGTGGGTGAACGCCCTGACCTGAAGTGCTGGCATCCAATATGGGCGCTGGTTCAAGACCCGGCTGCTTCACTTCCAATCCAGCTGTCTCCTTTGCCCTGGGAAAGCAGTGGAAGATGGCCCAAGTCCTTGGACCCCTGCACCCGCACGGGAGACCTGGAGGAAGCTCCTGGTTCCTGGCTTCAGATCAGCGCAGCTCCGGCCATTGTGGCCAATTGGGGAGTGAACCACTGGATGAAAGACCTCTCGTGCTCTCTCTCTCTCTGCCTCTCCTCTCTCTGCATAACTCTTTCAAATAAGAAAATAAATCTTTTAAAAAAATAAAGTGTAACTGTCTACAAAGGCCACTCACCGGAGCCCTTTTCTTGTATTTACCATTCAACCTACAGTATACAAATAAGTCTACTGCAGATAGAAGAAATATAGTGAGGGAAACTCTACAGGCAGAATGTAAATATATATATATATATATACACACACACATATACATATATATGCATACACAAACACACAACACAAATATTGAACTCTAATAGACTGATTTATGAGCACAGAGTGTGTGATCCCACAAGACTAGGTTTGCCAATGCTTCCAAAATTAAGTCTATACATTTCAAATTACAGGGCACTTCCAAGAACAGGATTGTACCCTATGACTTAACAAAGAAATAAAGAAAAAAAAATGCTTTCTGTGAAGAATGCAAAAAGGAAATTCTGCTAAAAACAACTCTTCCCTCCTTATTGTTAATTTATTGTAAGAAAATTTAAAACCAGCATTCTAAATCCTAGTTATGTAATATTCTGAGGAGAATAATACTTTTAAGATTGCAAATTACTAATTTTCTAAGATTTTCCTATTAATACTAAGGATTCTAGCCCCATTTAAAAATTAGTGAATTTTTCTTTGTCATCTTGTCTTGTAGGGGAAACAGAATAAATGTCCATGAAGATTTTAAGTTTTTAAACTGTGATACAATCCTCAAAGAGTGAAAGCTTATCAAAATAGGCACTGAATTATTTTCCCAGCTGTGATTTTCTTAGTTAAATGTACAAAAGGGTAGCTTTATTCTTTAGGTCAATAGGAGGTGATTTTGACCACTAGAGGACAGAAGGCAGCACCTGAAGGACTATAAGTAAAAGGATAGGGAGATACCACAAGCATCCAGTGGACATATGCCAGGAATGCTGTTAAATAATCCTACAATAAGTATAGCTCTCTACAACAAAGAATTGTCCAGCCCCAAATGTCAGAATTACTGAGGTTGAAAAACTGTTTTAATTTCAAAAATTATAGAGTGGAAGTAACCAAAAGTTGGTAAAACGAACTTTTCAGAATGTACTATCATAGTTTCACACTTTTACAATTTTAACAGGCAGGTAGTTTTGAATATTTATACTTAACATCTTGGAAAATAGCCACATATAAATTCTAATTCTGGGATGTGTTTGTAGCAAAGCTTGTTAAACTGCCACTTCCAATGCTGGCATCCCATACTACTGCACCTGGGAAGGCAGCAGAAGATGGTCCAAGCAGCTAGGCCCCTGCTATTCACATGCGAGACCCCAATAGCATTCAGAGACCTTCTTTTGGCCTGGACCAGTCCCAGCCATTTTGGTCACTTGGGGTATTAACCAGCAGAGAGAAGATCTCTCTCCCTCTGTCACTGTGTTAAATGAATAAATCTTGAAAAACAACCTCATCCTCCCCAAAAATTTCTCATATGAAGTGGCAATTGTGTCCAGCCCCAATGATTATAAAAATATTGCATAAAATTGAGGATCAACAAGATGACTCAATATGATTGTTGCATGAGGTTGTCAATAAAGTCCATCTTACTTCTTTTGCATGGAACTTTATAAAACATGAATAGTTCAAAAAATAATTTTATAAGCATGAATTTAGAGAATCCCAAATCTCTTAAGCAGAATTGATCCTTTTGTGGTTTCAAGTTATGAAGTTCTATATCACTTAATAAAAGCTCTGATAGGGCCAAGTTTCTAAATAAAAGAAATCAGAAGCCCAGTCAGGCTCCAAGGTATATTTGAAACATACCTATCACACTCTTGGCAAAAGAAGCACGTTTCAGGGTTGCCAGACCAAGGTCTCCAATCTTGACTGAGCCTGTAGGGCCAGTGATAAAGATGTTGTCACATTTAAGATCACGGTGAATAATAGGTGGAGTTCGAGTATGAAGAAATTGAAGTCCCTTAAGGATTTGACGGCACCAGCTTCTCAGAACTTTGATCTTCATCACTTTAAACCTTTTCAGGTACCTGGAAAAGGCACCAAACAAGTTATCAATGATATGAGTTTGTTGCTTTGAAGGATTCCATTAAATTCTAGCATACCAGTGATAGGAATATCAAATTTAGAATATTAAGATTCAGCAACCTTAAAGGTTAATGATACTTTTAGTAAGGTTAAAGGGCCAAAGAGAGTTAAGGGATACAGAAAAATAAGTCTTCTAAGAACTTTTTCATCCAAATAGTTATAGGATTAGGTAACCACAATTATTTACTATTAAAATGACTAAGGGGAAGAAGAGATAGAATTCTGCTTCTGCTAAATGGAGGGGCAGTTCTTATCAACATAGATATATTTATAAAACTCAAAAAATATATAACACAACTACTTGAAAGTTATGCAGAACATTTACAACTAGTCATAAATTGAAGGGAAAACTCACAAAGATGAAGACAAAGTAATGCTTAAGTTTTGTACTTTCTATACCTTTGCACCCAAAAGAAAACCTTAGTCTAATTTGTAGGTCAGCTAAAATCCAGACAAAAATGAAGAGAGTTTGAAATGACCATTGCATTGAGAACAGTGCAGAGAAAGTATCTGCCACAGAAACATGACTATATTTAAGTGTAGATTAATAAAGTAAAAATTCTGTTTCTTAGTTGCACTAGCCACATTTCAAGTACTCAAAGTCACATGTGGCACAAGGTACCACTTTGGACAGTACAAATTGTAGAATAGTTCCATCATTGGAGGAAGATCTATGGGACAGTGGACATCTACAGAGGAAAGGAGAAAATCCAAGAAAGTAAGCACAGAAGGAAAATCCTGAACTCTGCATACTCTCTCTGCCAAAACTCCAGATGACCTCTGAAATATGTGAAATATATGAAATACTGGCAACCCAGCCAATGCTAAAAAAACCCACTAGATTTCGAATGCTACTCATTGCAGGGAAGATAAAGTAGGGATTGAATTGCAATGCACAATACAATGGACTTCTGAGGAAAAAAATCAACAGCACTAAAAGTGCTAATATAAAAATTATCTTTTTCTCAGTACCATTAAAATACATTTGATTAGTTAGAAGAAAATCTCTTAACACTATGGGGGTCTACAGAATATATAAATGTATCATGAAAATTATGGCATGAAGAACAGTATTAAAGAGGCTAAATCAAAGTATATCTGTGCACGGGTCATATTTTACATTAAACTGTACAGTATAAATCAAATTGTGTTAAAGATATAAACACAATTTGCAGAGAACCACTTTAAAAACACATATACACACACACACATGGAAATCTAGCTCTAAGAATAAAGCAAACAACATAATGGGAAAAAATATTTGCAAACTATACAACAGATAAAGGGTTAATAACCAGAATCTACAAAGAGATCAAGAAACTCCACAAAAACAAACAACCCACTTAAGAGATGGGCCAAGGACCTCAATAGACATTTTTCAAAAGAGGAAATCCAAATGGCCAACAGGCACATGAAAAAATGTTCAAGGTCACTAGCAATCAGGGAAATGCAAATCAAAACCACAATGAGGTTTCACCTCACCCCGGTTAGAATGGCTCACATACAGAAATCTACCAACAACAGATGCTGGCGAGGATGTGGGGAAAAAGGGACACTAACCCACTGTTGGTGGGAATGCAAACTGGTCAAGCCACTATGGAAGTCAGTCTGGAGATTCCTCAGAAACCTGAATATAGCCCTACCGTTTGACCCAGCCATCCCACTCCTTGGAATTTACCCAAAGGAATTTAAATTGGCAAACAAAAAAGCGGTCTGCACCTTAATGTTTATTGCGGCACAATTCACAATAGCCAAGACCTGGAACCAACCTAAATGCCCATCAACGGTAGACTGGATAAAGAAATTATGGGATATGTACTCTTTAGAATACTATACCGCAGTAAGAAACAACGAAATCCAGTCATTTGCAACAAAATGGAGGAATCTGAAACACATCATGCTGAGTGAAATAAGCCAGTCCCAAAGGGACAAATACCATATGTTCTCCCTGACCAGTGACAACTGACTGAACACCAAAAAGGAAACCTGTTGAAGTGAAATGGACACTATGAGAAATGGTGACTTGATCAGCATAGCCCTGACTGTTAATGAACAACTTAATACATTAGCCCTCTTAGTAGTTTTTTTGTTGTTGTCTGTTCTACTTAATATGACTGGTTTAACTCTGTAATTAATACACAGTTATTCTTAAGTGTTGAAATTTAACTGAAATGTGATCCCTGTTAAACATTAGAGTGGGAATAAGAGAGGGAAGAGATGTATAATTTGGGACATGCTCAAGCTGACTTGCCCCAAATGGTAGAGTTAGAAACATACCAGGGGACTCCAATTTAATCCCATCAAGGTGGCATGTACCAATGCCATCTCACTAGTCCAAGTGATCAATTTCAGTTCACAATTGATCATAATGAAAGGACTAAGAGTCAAAGGGAACACATAAACAAGTCTAGTACCTGCTAATACTAACCGATACAATAAATAAAGGGGAGAGTGATCCAACATGGGAAGCGAGATACTCAGCAGACTCATAGAATGACGGATGTCCTAAATAGCACTCTGGCCTCAGAATCAGCCCTAAAGGCATTCCGATCTGGCTGAAAAGCCCATGAGAGTATTTCAGGCATGGAAAGCCAAGACACTCTGGCAAACAAACAAACAAAAACACCTAAATGAAAGATCTCTGTGAGTGAGATCCCAGTGGAAAGAACAGGTCTTCAAAGAAGGAGGTACCTTTCTCTGAAGGGAGGAGAGAACCTCCACTTTGACTATGACCTTATCTAAACAAGATAAGAGTCGGAGAACTCAAGGGGCTTCCATAGCCTTGGAAACTCATGACTGGTGCATAGGGAGATTACTGATGCCATAAACAGGAGTGTCAATTTGTAAAGTCAACAACAGGAGTCACTGTGCACTTACTCCTCATGTAGGATCTCTGTCCTTAATGTGCTGTACATTGAGACTTAATGCTATAACAAGTACTCAAACAGTATATTTCACTTTGTGTTTCTATGGGGGTGCAAACTGTTGAAATCCTTACTTCATGTATACTAAACTGATCTTCTGAAAAAAAAAAAAAAGAAGAAGAAGAAATTAGCAATTCCCAACTTGACTCTCACTGGGATTAAACATGACAATAGGTCTGATCTGATTTCATCATCATTTAAAAAATCATCTATTATTTTTCACTTTATGTTTCTGTGTGGGAGCAAACTGTTAAAATCTTTACTTAATGTATGCTAAACTGACCTTCTGTATATAAAGAGAATCGAAAATGAATCCTCATGTGAATGGAAGGGGAGAGGGAGGGGGGAAGGGGAGGGTAGTGGGTGGGAGGGACGATATGGGGGGGAAGCCATTGTAATCCATAAGCCGTACTTTGGAAATTTATATTCATTAAATAAAAGTTAAAAAAAAAATAGTGAAACTACAGGGGCTGGCACTGTGGCGGGTTAAGCAGCCCCCTGCAAAGCCGGCATCCCATATGGGCGCTGGAACGAGGCCTGGCTGCTCCACTTCTGATCCAGCACCCTGCTATGGCCTGGGAAAGCAGTAGAAGATGGCCCAAGTCCTTGTGTCTCTGCACCTGCATGGGAGACCTGGAAGAGGCTCCTGGCTCCTGGCTCCGGATTGGCACAGCTCTGACCATTGAGGCCAACTGGGGAGTGAACCAGTGGATGAAGACCTCTCTCTCTCTCTCTCTCTCTCTCTCTCTCTCGATGTAGCTTTCTCTCTGATTTTCAAATAAATAAATGTTTAAAAAAGCATAGTGGAACTACAATGAAATTCTACCTCATTTGGGTAAAGGAAATTGATAGCAAAAGTAGGTTTTATAGGTTACAAATTAAATCATATCAGTAAGGGTGATGGAAGGGCTGCATGGGAAGGAGTAAAAAGGGTGTTTTTTTTTTTTTAGTATGATGAAAATGCTCTATCTTAAGGATCTTGGTTATAGGAGTGAATGTCTTCGTCAAAAGTCACTGATTCACTACAATTATGATTTATGCTATTGTATGTAAGTTTAACTGTGATGAAAAGAAAACATACAAATATTGTATATATTTCATTTCTAATGAAATGCATTTATTTGGGAATGAATAAGATTGATGGGAGATGAAAAGACAGATGAACAGAATGTAGTAAACAAATTCAGCAAAAAGTTGTTAATGATTTTAACTGTAAAATCAAAAAATTTTACAATAAAATGTTGGGGGCCTTAAATGTCATTATATCTCCTTATAAACTTCCAATTTTTAACAAAAAATATGAACCTAAATAAATCTTTAAAGGGGTGGGGGGTAGGAGAGGAGAGGACAAATAAAATCTACCTATCCCATAAGTCATGGTTTAGATTACCCTAAACAATGGGAACAAATCATACTTTATTCTCAACTGCTTTTAAAATGAAAATTACACTCCTTCCAGCCAATGCCCAGCAATAAGCATCTCCGAACAACTGGCACAAGCGTTGTAAGACTGGGAGAAAATGTAAGCTCTACTGTAAGTATGAGCTGGGCGGCCTGGAGGCCAACACTAACTAAGATAATCCACCCCCTCCCCGAACATAAATACAGTGCAGGTGTGAGGAGGTAACTAGAAGTATCGCACCTTGAGGCTAGATGTGAGGAACATCTCCTGGGGCTTCAAGTATTGTACTAGGAAATCAAGGATTACTGATGTTGTCTACAATGTCTCTAATAACAAGCTGGTCTGCACCAAGAGGCTGGTGAAGAACTGCATTTTGCTTATAGACAGCACGCCGTATCAACAGTGGTACGAGTCTCACTATGCATTGCCCTTGGGCTGCAAGAAGGGGGCCAAGCTAACTCCTGAGGAGGAAGAAATTTTGAAAAAAAAAAAAAAAAATGATCAAAGAAAATTCAGAAGAAATATGATAAAAGGAAAAGTAATGCCAAAACCAGCAGCCTTCTAGAGGAGGAATCCCAGCAGGGCACGCTGCTGCTGTTTCTTTTTTTCTTTTTTT